TCCAACCCGGAATTTTGAAAAAATTTTCATTTTATTTTCCAACCTCGGAATTTCGAAAAAATTTTCATTTTTTTTCTAACTTCTGAATTTTGAAAAAATTTTCATTTTTTTTTCCAACCTCGGGATTTTGAAAAAAATTTCATTTTTTTTTCCAACCTCGGAATTTTGAAAAAAATTTCATTTTTTTTTACCAATCTCGGAATTTTGAAAAAATATTCATTTTTTTTTCCAACCTCGGAGTTTTGAAAAATTTTCATTTTTTTTCCAACCTCGGAATTTTGAAAGAAATTTCATTTTTTTTTTGAAACCTCGGAATTTTGAAAAATTTTCACTTTTTGTTTTCCAAACTCGGAATTTTGAAAAAAATTTCATTTTTCTTTCCAACCTCGGAATTTTGAAAATGTTTTCATTTTTTTATTCAACCTCGGAATTTTGAAAAAAATTTCATTTTTCTTTCCAACCTCGGAATTTTGAAAATGTTTTCATTTTTTTTTTCAAACCTCGGAATTTTGAAAAATTTTGATTTTCTTTTTCCAAACTCGGAATTTTGAAAAAATTTTCATTTTTTTTTCAAATCTCGGAATTTTGAAAAATATTTCATTTTTTTTTCAAACCTCGGAATTTTGAAAAAATTTTCATTTTTTTTTTCCAACCTCGGGATTTTGAAAAAATTTTCATTTTTTTTTCCAACCTCGGGATTTTGAAAAAATTTTCATTTTTTTTTCCCAACCTCGGAATTTTGAAAAAAAATTCATTTTTTTTTCCAATTTGGGAATTTTGAAAAAATTTTCATTTTTTTTTTCCAACCTCAGAATTTTGAAAAAATTTTCATTTTTTTTCCAACCTGGGAATTTTGAAAAAAATTTCATTTTTTTTTCCAACCCCGGAATTTTGAAAAAATTTTCATTTTTTTTTCCAACCTTGGAATTTTGAAAAAATTTTCATTTTTTTTTTCCAAACTCGGAATTTTGAAAAAAATTTCATTTTTTTTTTCCAACCTCGAAATTTGGAAAAAATTTTCATTTTATTTTCCAACCTCGGAATTTCGAAAAAATTTTCATTTTTTTTTCTAACTTCGGAATTTTGAAAAAAAAATCATTTTTTTTTTCCAACCTGGGAATTTTGAAAAAATTTTCATTTTTTTTTTCCAACCTCGGAATTTTGAAAAAATGTTTATTTTATTTTCCAACCTCGGAATTTCGAAAAAATTTTCATTTTTTTTCTAACCTCGGAATTTTGAAAAAATTTTCATTTTTTTTTTCAAATCTCGGAATTTTGAAAAAATTTTCATTTTTTTTTTGCAACCCCCGAATTTTGAAAAAAATTTCATTTTTTTTTCCAATCTCGGAATTTTGAATAAAATTTCATTTTTTTTTTCCATCTTCGGAATTTTGAAAAAATGTTTATTTTCTTTTTCCATCCTCGGAATTTTGAAAAAATTTTCATTTTTTTTTTCCAAACTCGGAATTTTGAAAAAATTTTCATTTTTTTTTTCCAACCTGGCAATTTTGAAAAAATTTTCATTTTATTTTCAAACCTCGGAATTTCGAAAAAATTTTCATTTTATTTTCAAACCTCGGAATTTCGAAAAAATTTTCATTTTTTTTCTAACCTCGGAATTTTGAAAAAATTTTCATTTTTTTTTTCCAACCCCGGAATTTTGAAAAAATTTTCATTTTATTTTCAAACCTCGGAATTTCGAAAAAATTTTCATTTTTTTTCTAACCTCGGAATTTTGAAAAAATTTTCATTTTTTTTTTCCAACCTCGGAATTTTGAAAAAATTTTCATTTTTTTTCCAACCCCGGAATTTCGAAAAAATTTTCATTTTTTTTCCAACCTGGGAATTTTGAAAAAAATTTCATTTTTTTTTTCCAACCTCGGAATTTTGAAAAAATTTTCATTTTTTTTTTCCAACCTCGGAACTTTGAAAAAAATTTTATTTTTTTTTCCAACCTCGGAATTTTGAAAAAATTTTCATTTTTTTTCCAAACCCGGAATTTTGAAAAAATTTTCATTTTATTTTCCAACCTGGGAATTTTGAAAAAAATTTCATTTTTTTTTTCCAACCTCGGAATTTTGAAAAAATTTTCATTTATTTTTCCAACCTCGGAACTTTGAAAAAAATTTCATTTTTTTTTCCAACCTCGGAATTTTGAAAAAATTTTCATTTTTTTTCCAACCCGGAATTTTGAAAAAATTTTCATTTTATTTTCCAACCCGGAATTTTGAAAAAATTTTCATTTTATTTTCCAACCTCGGAATTTCGAAAAAATTTTCATTTTTTTTCTAACTTCTGAATTTTGAAAAAATTTTCATTTTTTTTTCCAACCTCGGGATTTTGAAAAAAATTTCATTTTTTTTCCAACCTCGGAATTTTGAAAAAAATTTCATTTTTTTTTACCAATCTCGGAATTTTGAAAAAATATTCATTTTTTTTTCCAACCTCGGAGTTTTGAAAAATTTTCATTTTTTTTCCAACCTCGGAATTTTGAAAGAAATTTCATTTTTTTTTTGAAACCTCGGAATTTTGAAAAATTTTCATTTTTTGTTTTCCAAACTCGGAATTTTGAAAAAAATTTCATTTTTTTTTCCAACCTCGGAATTTTGAAAATGTTTTCATTTTTTTATTCAACCTCGGAATTTTGAAAAAAATTTCATTTTTTTTCCAACCTCGGAATTTTGAAAAAATTTTCATTTTATTTTCCAACCTGGGAATTTTGAAAAAAATTTCATTTTTTTTTTCCAACCTCGGAATTTTGAAAAAATTTTCATTTATTTTTCCAACCTCGGAACTTTGAAAAAAATTTCATTTTTTTTTCCAACCTCGGAATTTTGAAAAAATTTTCAATTTTTTTCCAAACCCGGAATTTTGAAAAAATTTTCATTTTTTTTTCCAACCTCGGAACTTTGAAAAAAATTTCATTTTTTTTTCCAACCTCGGAATTTTGAAAAAATTTTCATTTTTTTTCCAACCCGGAATTTTGAAAAAATTTTCATTTTATTTTCCAACCTCGGAATTTCGAAAAAATTTTCATTTTTTTTCTAACTTCGGAATTTTGAAAAAATTTTCATTTTTTTTTCCCGACCTCGGAATTTTGAAAAAAAATTTATTTTTTTTTCCAACCTGGGAATTTTGAAAAAATTTTCATTTTTTTTTTCCTACCTCGGAATTTTGAAAAAATTTTCATTTTTTTTTTCCAACCTCGGAATTTTGAAAAAATTTTCATTTTTTTTCTAACTTCGGAATTTTGAAAAAATTTTCATTTTATTTTCCAACCTCGGAATTTCGAAAAAATTTTCATTTTTTTTCTAACCTCGGAATTTTGAAAAAATTTTCATTTTATTTTCCAACCTCCGAATTTTGAAAAAATTATCATTTTTTTTTTCCAACCTCGGAATTTTGAAAAAATTTTCATTTTTTTTCTAACTTCGGAATTTTGAAAAAATTTTCATTTTTTTTTCCCGACCCCCGAATTTTGAAAAAATTTTCATTTTATTTTCCAACCTCGGAATTTCAAAAAAATTTTCATTTTTTTTCTAACCTCGGAATTTTGAAAAAATTTTCATTTTATTTTCCAGCCTTGGAATTTTGAAAAAATTTTCATTTTATTTTCCAACCTCGGAATTTCGAAAAAATTTTCATTTTTTTTCTAACCTCGGAATTTTGAAAAAATTTTCATTTTTTTTTCCAACTTCGGAATTTTGAAAAAATTTTCATTTTTTTCTTTCCATCTTGGAATTTTGAAAAAATTTTGATTTTTTTTTTCATCCTCGGAATTTTGAAAAAATTTTCATTTTTTTTTTCCAACCTCGGAATTTTGAAAAAATTTTCATTTTTTTTTCCAACCTCGGAATTTTGAAAAAATTTTCATTTTTTTTTCCAACCTCGGAATTTTGAAAAAAATTTCATTTTTTTTTCCAACCTCGGAATTTTGAAAAAATTTTCATTTTTTTTTTCCAACCTCGGAATTTTGAAAAAATTTTCATTTTTTTTCCAACCCGGAATTTTGAAAAAATTTTCATTTTATTTTCCAACGTCGGAATTTCGAAAAAATTTTCATTTTTTTTCTAACTTCGGAATTTTGAAAAAATTTTCATTTTTTTTTCCAACCTGGGAATTTTGAAAAAATTTTCATTTTTTTTCCAACCTCGGAATTTTGAAAAAATTATCATTTTTTTTTTCCAACCTCGGAATTTTGAAAAAATTTTCATTTTTTTTTTCCAACCTCGGAATTTTGAAAAAATTATCATTCTTTTTTTCCAACCTCGGAATTTTGAAAAAATTTTCATTTTTTTTCTAACTTCGGAATTTTGAAAAAATTTTCATTTTTTTTTCCCGACCCCCGAATTTTGAAAAAATTTTCATTTTTTTTCCAACCTCGGAATTTCGAAAAAATTTTCATTTTTTTTCTAACCTCGGAATTTTGAAAAAATTTTCATTTTATTTTCCAACCTCGGAATTTCGAAAAAATTTTCATTTTTTTTCTAACCTCGGAATTTTGAAAAAATTTTCATTTTTTTTTTCCAACCTGGGAATTTTGAAAAAATTTTCATTTTTTTTTTCCAACCTGGGAATTTTGAAAAAAATTTCGTTTTGTGGTTCCAACCTGGGAATTTTGAAAAAAATTTCGTTTTGTGGCTAGCCAGGGCAACTAGTGATTTTTTCCAACCTGGGAATTTTGAAAAAAATTTCGTTTTGTGGCTAGCCAGGGCAACTAGTGATGCTATACTATTAATTTCCAAATATTATTATTATATATATATATATATATATATATATATATATATATATATATATATATATATATATATATATATATATATATATATATATATATATATATATATATATATATATATATATATATATATTTATATCTTAAAATTAATTATTGCTACTCAAAATCCCTTTTCAAATAGCGGAACTTTCTTTTCAAATAGCAGAACTCCCTTTAACCAACATGACCTTGTCAAAATAACCAGACCATGTTAGGTGGATATATAACCTGGTTATTCATCCACCTAACGTAGTCTGGTTAATTTAACCAGGGTATCATGGTAAAATTAACCAAGAAATAATCAGGAATATTAGGTTTGCCAAATAGGCTTTTTCTAGGTTAACCAGAGAAATTTTAACAGAGTGTTTTACAGTGGATAAAAAACTATTATTTTTCATTACAATAAAACGCCGCATACAAGAACCTAGAATTTTAAGAAAGAACCTTTTTGGTTAAAATATTTTATTTAGACCCCTTTTAAATAAGAACCTGTTCCCCGCAAACATTTTTCTTATCAAAATAACCCTTTTCCGTCCAGGCGTCATGCTTGGTTTGTGTAGCGAGAACTACGAACATCGTGTGATATATATTTCAAAATGACCGCCATTTTTGTTGCCAAGAACGTCACTCTCCCGAGAATTGGAGGGAACTAGAGAAGCCGCACAGTTAATATGGTATAGATGTCATATAACGTATAAAATGCATGATGTCAAACGCGGAAAACCAATTTATGCGTTGTCCCAAGGGATAACTTTTAGCGAGAATTTAGTAACGATTCACAGTGCAAGTCGTTGGCAAACCAATAAATTTCATAAAAACATCACATTTTAAAAGTGTTTTTCCGCGTTTGACGTCATCATAAGAAAGGTCTATTAAGTACGGCTCACGAAAAGCACGAATGTTTGAATCAAAATTAAATATACGTCTATTTTGGTCACCAAAATATGTATTTGAGTTCGGCTCATGAAAAGTACGGCGTCTAAACCGGGCCTAAGATATTTGGTCGTTGCAATAATTTCTTGAAGTTTTTTTTAAATAACCTTCAACTTGTTGCGAGCCTGTTGGCTTCATCGACCTTGTCGACTATTGGCTAGTATCCAAAGCCAAACTCAGGTTTAGCAAAAGTCAAGATTAAGATATTAAGACCAAAATCTGTTAAGGAGATCAAAAAGAGATGATTAATTACATAGACCTTATGCATAATGACGTCAGAAGGCTTGGTGTCAGCGAGGAATGCTGGCCTTTCGATAGTGTCCATTTTGAATTGTTTTTAATCTTCCCGGGCGATGACTACTAAGACCAGCATTCCTCGCGGGCATCAATCCTTTTGACGTCAAAATGCATAAGGTCTATTGATTTTGTGTTTACAACAGAAAGTTCGTCTGAACTGTATCAGGAGTGATATTGTTTAAATATTAAATGAACATGCACACATGAGGATTTCAACAAATTTAAATCATAGATATCTTATATACACTAGATAGTGCATCTAATTATTCTGCAATTCAAAATTTGAAGTCGTGATTGTAGACTCAGGATATTCCCATGAAATGAGAAGACTCATATGTTTTCTATTTCTTAAACAGCGAACTTAAACATTAAGTTAAACTTAACCTATTCCAAATACATTTTCAAACTGTTCAAATGATGAAAGTTATTGTTGTTTTTTAAGCGTTTATTAGCGAGTGGGAAACTCCAACATGGCCGCGCCATCTATTCAAATGGGGTAACCGCTGGAATATTCTTAGCTTCAATTTTACTTAAAGAGATGCGCTATCTACTGTATATAAGATATAATTATATTATTTAAATGCACTGCAGTCTGCAGCGTTATTCACCATTCTAGTAATATAAAAGAGAAATGGTCAGATTCATATTCGAGTTGTCAAATAATTGCTAGAATATTGTCTTAAATTGAGAAATAAAATTCATTTACTACAAGGTGTTAAGCCCTGGACAAACTAGGAAACATTTTTGCGGAAACATTGTTTCCTACCAAGGCATGTTTTGCTATGTTTCCAAGACTGGGCAAACAGTGAAAAACATAGGGATAGCTAGCCAGGGCAACTAGTCATGCTATAGTATTAATTTCCAAAATTAACCCAGGTACTGATAAGTTGTTTTGCTATCTTGTTCATTTGCTCTATTTCAAATTTTTTAATGGAATAATGTATATATATATCTGTATATATATATAATTATATATATATATATATATATATATATATATATATATATATATATATATATATATATATATATATATATATATATATATATATGTATATATATATATATATATATTCTCTTTTCAAATAGCGGAGCATTCTTTTCAAACAGCAGAACTCCATTTTCAAATAACGGAGCATTCTTTTCAAATAGCAGAACTCCTTTTTCAAATAGCGGAGCATTCTTTTCAAATAGGAGAACTCGCTTTTCAAATAGCGGAGCATTCTTTTTAAATAGCAGAACTCCCTTTTCAAATAGTGGAGCATTCTTTGAAATAGCAGAACTCCATTATCAAATAGCAGAACTTTCTTTTCAAATAGCAGAACTCCCTTTTCAAATAGCGCAACTTTCTCGTCAAGTAGCAGAACTCTCTTTTCAAATAGCGGAGCATTCTTTTCAAATATCAGAACTCCCTTTTTCAAATAGCGGAGCATTCTCTTCAAATAGCAGTACTCCCTTTTCAAATAACGAAACTTTCTTTTCAGATATCAGAACTCCCTTTTCAAATAGCGGAACTTTCTCCTCAAGAAGCAGAACTCTCTTTTCAAATAGCGTAGCATTCTTTTAAAATAGCAGAACTCCCTTTTCAAATAGCGGAACTTTATTTTCAAATAGCAGACCTCCCTTTTCAAATAGCGGGGCATTCTTTTCAAGTACCAGAACTCGCTTTTCAAATAACGAAACTTTCATTTCAAATATCAGAACTACTTTTCAAATAGCGGAACTTTCTCCTCAAGTAGCAGAACTCTCTTTTCAAATAGCGGAGCATTCTTTTCAAATAGCAGAACTCCCTTTTCAAATAGCGGAACTTTCTTTTCAAATAGCAGAACTCCCTTTTAAAATAGCGGAGCATTATTTTCAATTAGAAGAACTCCCTTTTCATATAGCGGAGCGTTCTTTTCAAATAGCAGAACTCCCTTTTTAAATAGCGGAACCTTCTTTTCAAATAGCATACATCCCTTTTCAAATAGCGGAGCATTCTTTTCAAATAGCAGAACTCCTTTTTCAAATAGCGAAACTTTTTTTCAAATAGGAGAACTCCCTTTTCAAGTAGCGGAACTTTCTTTTAAAATAGCAGAATTCCTTTTTCAAATAGCCGAGCATTCTGTTCAAATAGGAGAACTCCCTTTTCAAAAAGCGGAGCATTCTTTTCAAATGGCAGACTTCCTTTTTCAAATAGCGGAACATTCTTTTCAAATAGCAGTACTCCCATTTCAAATAACGAAACTTTCTTTTCAAATATCAGAACTCCCTTTTCAAATAGCGGAGCATTCTTTTTAAATAGCAGAACTCCCTTTTCAAATTGCGGAGCATTCTTTTCAAATAGCAGAACTCCCTTTTCAAATAGAGGAACTTTCTCCTGAAGTAGCAGAATTCTCTTTTCAAATAGCGGAGCATTCTTTTCAAATAGCAGAACTCCCTTTTTAAATATCGGAGCATTTTTTTAAATAGCATAACTCCCTTTTCTAATAGCGGAGCATTCTTTTCATATAGCAGGACTCCCCTTTCAAATAGCATAACTTTCTTTTCCAATAGCAGAACTCCCTTTTCAAATAGCGGAACATTCTTTCAAATATCAGAACACCCTTTTCAAATAGCAGAACTTTCTTTTCAAATAGCAGAACTCCCTTTTCAAATAGCGGAGCATTCTTTTGAAATAGCAGAACTACCTTATCAAATAGTAGAACTTTCTTTTCAATAGCAGAACTCCCTTTTCAAAAAGCGGAACTTTCTCGTCAAGTAGCAGAACTGTCTTTTCAAATAGCGGAGCATTCTTTTCAAAAAGAAGAACTCCCTTTTCAAATAACGAAACTTTCTTTTCAAATAGCAGAACTCCCTTTTCAAAAGCGGAGCATTCTTTTCAAATAGCAGAACTCCTTTTTCAAATAGCGGAGCATTCTTTTGAAATAGCAGAACTCGCTTTTCAAATAGAGGAACTTCCTCCTCAAGTTGCAGAACTCCCTTTTCAAATAGCGGAGCATTCTTTTCAAATAGCAGAACTCCCTTTTCAAATAGCGGAACTTTCTTTTCAAATAGCAGAACTCCCTTTTCAAATAGCGGAGCATTTTTTTCAAATAGGAGAACTCCCTTTTCAAATAGCGGAGCATTCTTTTCAAATAGCAGAACTCCCTTTTCAAAAATCGAAACTTTCTTTTCAAATAGCAGAACTCCCTTTTCAAAAGCGGAGCATTCTTTTCAAATAGCAGAACTCCTTTTTCAAATAGCGGAGCATTCTTTTGAAATAGCAGAACTCGCTTTTCAAATAGAGGAACTTCCTCCTCAAGTTGCAGAACTCCCTTTTCAAATAGCGGAGCATTCTTTTCAAATAGCAGAACTCCCTTTTCAAATAGCGGAACTTTCTTTTCAAATAGCAGAACTCCCTTTTCAAATAGCGGAGCATTTTTTTCAAATAGGAGAACTCCCTTTTCAAATAGCGGAGCATTCTTTTCAAATAGCAGAACTCGCTTTTCAAATAGCGGAACAATATTTTCAAATAGCAGAACACCCTGTTCAAATAGCGGAAACTTCTTTTCAAATAGCGGACCTCCCTTTTCAAATAGCGGAGCATTCTTTTCAAACAGCAGAACTCTCTTTTCAAATGGGGGAACTTTCTCCTCAAGTAGCAGAACTCTCTTTTCAAATAGCGGAGCATTCTTTTCAAATAGCAGAAATCCCTTTTCAAATAACGGTGCATTCTTTTCAAATAGCAGAACTCCATTTTCAAATAACGATACTGTCTTTTCAAATAGCAGAACTCCCTTTTCAAATAGCGGAGCATTCTTTTCTAATAGCAGAACTCCCTTTTCAAATAGCGGAGCATTCTTTTGAAATAGCAGAACTCCCTTTTCAAATAGCGGAACTTCCTCCTCAAGTAGCAGAACTCTCTTTTCAAATGGCGGAGCATTCTTTTCAAGTAGCAGAACTCCCTTTTCAAATAGCGGAGCATTCTTTTCAAATAACAGAACTCCCTTTTCAAATAGCGGAGCATTCTTTTCAAATAGGAGAACTCCCTTTTCAAATAGCGGAGCATTCTTTTGAAATAGCAGAACTCCCTTTTTAAATAGCGGAGTAATATTTTAAAATAGCAGAACTCCCTTTTCAAATAGCGGAACCTTCTTTTCAAATAGCAGACCTCTCTTTTCAAATAGCGGAGCATTTTTTTTCAAATAGCAGAACTCCCTTTTCAAATAGCAGAACTTTCTTTTCAAATAGCAGAACTCCCTTTTCAAAGTTTTGAAGAGAAAATTCTAAGTTTGAAGAGTAAATTCAAAGTTTTGAAGCCTAAATTCTAAGTTTTGAAGAGTAAATTCTAAGTTTTGAAGAGCAAAATCGATAATTTGAAGAGTAAATTCTAAGTTTTGAAGAGTAAATTCGATATTTTGAACAGTAAAGTCTAAGTTTTGAAGAGTAAATTCTATGTTTTGAAGAGTAAATTCTAAGATTTGAAGAGTAAATTCTAAGTTTTGAAGATTAAATTCTAAGTTTTGAAGAGTAAATTCTAAGTTTTGACAAGCAAATTCTAAGATTTGAAGAGTAAAATCTAAGTTTTGAAGAGTAAATTCTTTATTTTGAAGTGTCAATTATAAGTTTTGAAAAGTAAATTCTAAATTTTGAAGAATAAATTCGAAGTTTTGAAGAGTAAATTCTAAATTTTGAAGAGTAAATTCTAAATTTTAAAGAGTATATTCCAAGTTTCGATGAGTAAATTCTAAGTTTTGAAGGGTAAGTTCTAAGTTTTGAAGAGTAAATTCTAAGTTTGAAGAGTAAATTCTATGTTTTGAAGATTAAATTCTAAGATTTCAAGAGTAAATTCTAAGTTTTGAAGACTAAATTTTAAGTTCCGAAGAGTAACTTCTAATTTTGAAGAGTAAATTCTAAGTTTTGAGTTGTAAATTCTAAGTTTAGAAGGGTTAATTCTAAGTTTTGAAAAGAAAATTCTAAGATTTGAAGAGTAAATTCTAAGTTTAGAAGAGTAAATTCTAAGTTTTGAAGAGAAAATTCTAAGTTTGAAGAGTAAATTCTAAGTTTTGAAGAGATAATTCGATATTTTGAAGAGTAAATTCGATATTTTGAAGAGTAAATTCTCAGTTTTGAAGAGTAAATTATAAATTTTGAAGAGTAAATTCTATGTTTTGAAGAATAAATTATAAATTTTGAAGAGTAAATTCTAAGTTTTGAAGAGTAAATACTCAGTTTTGAAAAGTACATTCTAAGATTTGAAGAGTAAATTCTAAGTTTTGATGAGTAAATTCTAAGTTTTGAAGAGTAAATTCTAAATTTTGAAGAGTAAATTCTAAATTTTGTAGGGTATATTCCAAGTTTCGATGAGTAAATTCTAAGTTTTGAAGGGTAAGTTCTAAGTTTTGAAGACTAAATTCTAAGTTTGAAGAGTAAATTCTATGTTTTGAAGATTAAATTCTAAGATTTCAAGAGTAAATTCTAAGTTTTGATGACTAAATTTTAAGTTCCGAAGAGTAAATTCTAATTTTGAAGAGTAAATTCTAAGTTTTGAGTTGTAAATTCTAAGTTTAGAAGGGTTAATTCTAAGTTTTGAAGAGAAAATTCTAAGATTTGAAGAGTAAATTCTAAGTTTAGAAGAGTAAATTCTAAGTTTTGAAGAGTAAATTCTAAGTTTGAAGAGTAAATTCTAAGTTTTGAAGAGTAAATTCGATATTTTGAAGAGTAAATTCGATATTTTGAAGAGTAAATTCTCAGTTTTGAAGAGTAAATTATAAATTTTGAAGAGTAAATTCTATGTTTTGAAGAATAAATTATAAATTTTGAAGAGTAAATTCTAAGTTTTGAAGAGTAAATACTCAGTTTTGAAAAGTACATTCTAAGATTTGAAGAGTAAATTCTAAGTTTTGATGAGTAAATTCTAAGTTTTGAAGAGTAAATTCTAAATTTTGAAGAGTAAATTCTAAATTTTGTAGGGTATATTCCAAGTTTCGATGAGTAAATTCTAAGTTTTGAAGGGTAAGTTCTAAGTTTTGAAGACTAAATTCTAAGTTTGAAGAGTAAATTCTATGTTTTGAAGATTAAATTCTAAGATTTCAAAAGTAAATTCTAAGTTTTGAAGACTAAATTTTAAGTTCCGAAGAGTAAATTCTAATTTTGAAGAGTAAATTCTAAGTTTTGAAGAGTAAATTCGATATTTTGAAGAGTAAATTCGATATTTTGAAGAGTAAATTCTCAGTTTTGAAGAGTAAATTATAAATTTTAAAGAGTAAATTCTATGTTTTGAAGAATAAATTATAAATTTTGAAGAGTAAATTCTAAGTTTTGAAGAGTAAATACTCAGTTTTGAAAAGTACATTCTAAGTTTTGAAGAGTAAATTCTAAGTTTTGATGAGTAAATTCTAAGTTTTGAAGAGTAAATTCTAAGTTTTGAAGAGTAAATACTAAGTTTGAAGAGTAAATTCTAGGTTTTGAAGACTAAATTCTAAGTTTTGAAGGGTAAATTCTAAGTTTTGAAGAGTAAATTCGATATTTTGAAGGGTAAATTCTAAATTTTGAACAGTAAATTCAATATTTTGAAGAGTAAATTCTAAATTTTCAAGAATAAATTCTAAGTTTAGTAGAGCAAATTCTAAGTTTTGAAGAGTAAATTCTATGTTTGAAGAGTAAATTCTAAGATTTGAAGAGTAAATTCGATATTTTGAAGAGTAAATTCTCAGTTTTGAAGAGTAAATTATAAATTTTGAAGAGTAAATTCTATGTTTTGAAGAATAAATTATAAATTTTGAAGAGTAAATTCTAAGTTTTGAAGAGTAAATACTCAGTTTTGAAAAGTACATTCTAAGTTTTGAAGAGTAAATTCTAAGTTTTGATGAGTAAATTCTAAGTTATGAAGAGTAAATTCTAAGTTTTGAAGAGTAAATTCTAAGTTTGAAGACTAAATTCTAAGTTTTGAAGACTAAATTCTAAGTTTTGAATGGTAAATTCTAAGTTTTGAAAGTAAATTCGATATTTTGAAGAGTAAATTCTAAGTTTTGAAGAGTAAATTCTAAGTTTTGAAGAGTAAATTCTATATTTTGAAGAGTAAATTCTAAGTTTTGAAGAGTAACTTCAATTTTTTTAAGAGTAAATCCTAAATTTTGAAGAATAAATTCTAAGTTTAGTACAGCAAATTCTAAGTTTTGAAGAGTAAATTCAATGTTTTGAAGTGTAAATTCTAAGATTTGAAGAGCAAATTCTAAGTTTTGAAGACCAAGTCTTAAGTTCCGAAGATTAAATTCTAATTTTGAAGAGTAAATTCTAAGTTTGGAGGAGTAAATTCTAAGTTTAGAAGGGTGAATTCTAAGTTTTGAAGAGAAAATTCTAAGAATTAAAGAGTAAATTCTAAGTTTAGAAGAGTGAATTCTAAGTTTTGAAGAGAAAATTCTAAGTTTGAAGAGTAAATTCTAAGTTTTAAAGAGTAAATTCCAAGTTTTGAAGAGAAAATTGTAAGATTTGAAGCGTAAATTCTTAGTTTAGAAGAGTAAATTCTAAGTTTTAAAGAGAAAATTCTAAGTTTGAAGAGTAAATTCTAAGTTTTGAAGAGTAAATTCTATATTTTGAAGAGTAAGTTCTAAGTTTTGAAGAGTAAATTCAGAATTTTGAAGAGTAAATTCTTAGTTTTGAAGAGTAAATTCTAAGTTTTAAAGAGTAAATTCTACGTTTTGAAGAGGAATTTCTAAGTTTTGAAGAGTACATTCTAAGTTTTGAAGAGTAAATTCTAAGTTTTCATGAGTAAATTCTAAATTTTGAAGGGTAAGTTCTATGTTTTGTACAGTAAATTCTAAGTTTGAAGAGTAAATTCTATGTTTTGAAGACTAAATTCTAAGATTTCAAGAGTAAATTCTAAGTTTTGAAGACTAAATTTTAAGTTCCGAAGAGTAAATTCTAATTTTGAAGAGCAAATTCTAAGTTTTGAGTTGTAAATTCTAAGTTTAGAAGAGTTAATTCTAAGTTTTGAAGAGAAAATTCTAAGATTTGAAGAGTAAATTCTAAGTTCAGAAGAGTAAATTCTATCTTTTGAAGAGTAAATTCCAAGATTTCAAGAGTAAATTCTAAGTTTTGAAGACTAGATTTTAAGTTCCGAAGAGTAAATTCTAATATTGAAGAGTAAATTCTAAGTTTTGAGTTGTAAATTCTAAGTTTAGAAGGGTTAATTCTAAGTTTTGAAGAGAAAATTGTAAGATTTGAAGAGTAAATTCTTAGTTTAGAAGGGTAAATTCTACGTTTTGAAGAGAAAATTCTAAGTTTGAAGAGTAAATTCTAAGTTTTGAAGAGTAAATTCTATATTTTGAAGAGTAAATTCTAAGTTTTGAAGAGTAAATTCAGAATTTTGAAGAGTAAATTCTAATTTTTGAAGAGTAAATTCGAAGTTTTAAAGAGTAAATTCTACGTTTTGAAGAGTAATTTCTAAGTTTTGAAGAGTACATTCTAAGTTTTGAAGAGTAAATTCTAAGTTTTGATGAGTAAATTCTAAGTTTTGAAGGGTAAGTTCTAAGTTTTGAAGAGTAAATTCTAAGTTTGAAGAGTAAATTCTATGTTTTGAAGACTAAATTCTAAGATTTCAAGAGTAAATTCTAAGTTTTGAAGACTAAATTTTAAGTTCCGAAGAGTAAATTCTAATTTTGAAGAGCAAATTCTAAGTTTTGAGTTGTAAATTCTAAGTTTAGAAGAGTTAATTCTAAGTTTTGAAGAGAAAATTCTAAGATTTGAAGAGTAAATTCTAAGTTTAGAAGAGAAAATTCTAAGTTTGAAGAGTAAATTCTAAGTTTTGAAGAGTAGATTCTATATTTTGAAGAG